CTGCATTTCAGAAGAGCAGGTGGGGACCTGAGCAGGCCTGGAAACAATGGGTGAAGCCCCTCATTGTCTGGATTTGCTCTCTTCTTTTACACGGTTGGTGTGCATCTGTGTGCGCACACACACGCGGTATGCTCACCGCACACGCGGCAGCCCTGTGACAGTCCAGTCCTGGCAGGAAGCAGACACCTGCTCGGAGTGGGTACTTGAAGGAGATTTAATAAAGGGAAAGTGGCTCAAGGTGTGTCCCTGCCGGTCCTCTCAGGCGGAGCGATGCATCCAGGGAAGATGCTGCAGCCTCCTGTGGGGGTGTGACCCATGACTGGTCAGTGTGACTCCAGAAGATTGTGGGTGGCTTCTGGGGGCTGTTTCCTTTGTGCTGAGAGAAGGGAGCCCTTTGTGCAAGCTCCTCCTCCCAGCTCACCGCCTGTGGAGCGCAGATGATGCTGCCTGCTGAGGGTGCATTTGACGTCACCAGGGAGACCTCACAGTCAAGCTGAGCAGTAAGAGGGGGAGAGCTGCCATGCTCGCACCCAGACGCCCACCACTAAGACCACCACACAGAGAGCGCAAGCTCTTTGCAGGAAGACATCAAAAAGAGAAGAAGAACGTCAAGTGCTACCTGCCAGATTTCTATGTGAAATTTTACCTATCATGAAGGGCCATGGGTGTTTTTTCCAAAGGCTGACCCTTCTTGTGGAAACATGAAGCTGGAGAAAGGAGGTTCTCCTGACTGACTGTGTTTTGGGGCATGGGTAGTGAGGGGGTAGTGCAGCTCTCCCACAAAGTCAGATGGCTGTGAAGGTCTATAGGGGTCTCTGAGGAGACACAGTTGTTAGCACTTGCTGTTGGGTGGGGCCATGTGACAGGCAGGTCAGTGGAATGTAAGAAGCAGGGGAGAGCTGGGGCTCAGTGCTCTAGTCTTCAAGGTTTACTCTTGCCTCGCTGAATTGACAGAGAAAGGCACATGCTGTAGATAGCCTGGGTGAAGTGTGGTGGAGCTGCTGGCAGCAAGGATTGCTGAGTCCTCCCAACTATATTTTGCCTGAGTGAGAAATAAACATGGTATTAACATCCCATCCCTATATTTTGAATTTTTATTGAGGTATAATTTACATATAATGAAATGCATAGTTGCTGAGTGCACCACTTGATGAGTATTGATAAATAATTACGTCATATAACCACTACCCTCAGTAATTTTCCTGTCAACTTGCATCCCCCTTCCCAGGTAATAGTGTTTTGTAATTTTCAAGACACATGTTTTTTTTCTTCTTCGGTTAAATTTATTCCTAAGTGTTTTATTTGTTTCCATGCTATTGTAAGTAGAATTTTTCTCTAAAGTTTTATTTTTGGATTGCTAATGTATTATAGAATATAATTGATTTTCACATATTGATCTTCTATCCTGCAACCTTGTGAACTTGCTTATTAGCGTGGGTGTGTGTGCACATTCCTGAGGCGTTTCTACTGTGGGGGAGCAAAATAGGTCACTCCAGAATGTAACATTTTGACATATCAAATATTTTGAATTAAAGTTGCTTAAGAAATAGCTGGTATAAGAACAGCCTGACCCTCCTTTGGTTCTTAAAAGCAGGAGATAAATTCCCCATATGAAAAAGTACTTTCCCTGTAGTAGAAAGAAAAAAGTATTCTTTACTATCTGAGACAGGGTATTTAGGACTCACAAGGCCGTGCAAACAAACCTGGGTGCATCTTGACTCTTCTAGAAGCCAAAATCTTTTTTCTTGTCAATTCTTCCTTGTCTGAAAGGTTTGACAAAAGCCAAATACTTTGGCTATTTCGCTGGTTCCCATATCTCTGGGACCGCCATACATAGGAAATTAAACTTCTTTTCTCCTGTTCATCTGTGTTGTGTCCATTTAATTATTAGGTCAAAGAACTAGAAGGGAGAGATGGAGAAAGTGTTTCTCCTCTACTTTATCTACAAGATCATGGCATCTGCAAATAGAGATTGTTTTACTTCATCTTTCCAATCTGGATGACTTTCATTTCTTTCGTGTTTCATTGCCCTGGTCAGAACCTCCAGTGCAATGTCAAATAGAAGTGGTGAAAGGAGACATCCTTGTCTTTTTTCCCTTCTTGTTAGAAAAGCTTTTTTTGTTTGTTTTTAAACACAGACTAAGCAAATGTTTTTCCCCTCGACCAGGCCCTTTCTTCCTCTTGTCTGCTGCTAGAAAACCCGATTTAAGAGATGCCACCTTATACAATTCTCTCTGCAACCCACCTTTTATGCTGTTTCCAAAGTGTTATTTCCCAAAACAAAATCTTTCAATAATAATAGACAACACTGAGTGAGTTCACTGAATCCTAAGCTCTGAGCAAGCACTCCATGTAATAGCAACTCACATCCATCAGACAGGGAGGCACACAGAAATTCCCTAACTTGCCCAGGGGCAAAGGGCTAGAAGAATCAGTCACCATCCATCTCACATTTCCAAATCCCACAACTCTCTTCAGCCCTGTGATGTTCTCCAGGCTCCAGTGCCTCCCTGGCCACAGCTAGGTCTCAGGGGCACTATCAGCTCCCAAGGACAAGAAGGTGTGGGGAGGGGAGCATTTTTTTCCTAAGTGCAGGATCTTATTTTTATCTCCCTGTTACTTATTCCGAAAATTTTCAAACCCACAGAAACAGTGAACGAGTAACATAAGGGGGGGGCTCCAATATATATTTCACCTAGATTCACCTGTTTTTAACTCCCCCCCCCGAATCATTTGAGTACAGGTTGCAGATCCTATGACACTCTATCCCCAAATACTTCAGCATGCATGCATGCATCTCCCAAGAACAAGAACGTTAACAGCCATCCAATGCTATTCTGCATAACAAGTGTGTGATGTATGTATCACCTCAATCCAAATTATAATATACTATCAACCCAGTTCTATGACACTATTCTGTTCTAGAATTTCCCCAGTTGTCCCTTATTATAGCTGTGTTGTTGCTGCAATTGTCATTTTAACCTAAGGTCTACTGCAGATTCACTGTTGCTTTTCACTGTTCTATTTGTTTCATGTCTTTTAAACTGTCTTTTTTGTTTGTTTTTGCTTTTGCTTTGTGTTTTCAAACACTGATCTTTTTGGAAGAGTCCAGGGCAGTTGGCTTGTGGGATGTTTCACATTCTGGACTTGTCTCCTTGTTTCCTCATGATTAGATTCAGGTCACACATTCTTGACAACAAGAGTCCCCAGGAGATGCCGTGTGTTCCTTGCTGCGTCTCGTCAGGAGGGACATTGTGTCAGCCTGTCTCACTGTCTCTGCTGCTCAATTTGACCATGTGGTTATGGCAGTGACTTCCAAGTTCCATCATGGCAAGATCGTTTTCCCTTTGCACTTATTAAGAAATCTGTGTTGATACTGAAAGGTTGGCAAACACCCTGTTCCCCAACCACCTTTCACCCAATGTCTTTAGTCGCCACTGTTGATTTTTGCTTATTTGGTTAATTCACTGAGGGTTACAAAATGGCAATTTTTAAATCTCTCACTGTTTGCTAGAATTCTTTTACAAAGCATTTTGTTTTGTTTTGTTTTGTTTTGAATTCTCTCTCATATACATGGACTGCTGAATTTTTTTAAAGATTAAATATGTTATAAACTCAAAATATCAAACTACTATGATGTTCAAATTGTCCTAAGTTGGTTAAGCCGAGCCTAGGGACCCCGAAGGCCAGCAGAGCTCCGTTTAGGGAAGAGGAGACTGGATCCTGGGCAATAACCAATGGGCTTGTCACAGCCCTTACCTGCTGAGAGCCTCTGTTCCCTGGGTCTTACAAGGGGTTAATAACTCTCCTAGGAGAACTGGTCATGGATTCATTGCATGAAAAGCATGTGTGTCCACCATGGGGTCTGGTACAAAGAAAGTGCTCAAAATTACGAATTTCCCCTTTCCTTCCTTGCTCTGTACTCCTAATACCACTGCCTTTATTCAAATTTTCCTACTTTGGATTTCTAAAGTCACAGTATCACCTGTTTGCTCCTGTTTTCTCACCTGTGAAATGGGATGTCAGGCTGGCATAAGGCTCAGCTATGCTGCTGTCAGTGTATACACTATTTGGGGGAGTTATCCCCCAGATACTGTGGGCTGTGGATAACTCCTCATTGAGGAATGGTCTTGGGGCTACCAATGACTGACTGGCATGGGGGACAGAAAGCTGGTCCCCTTGCCTCACAGCGAGACTAATTCTGGAGGTAATTTATGTTCTAGAGGAATCAGGCTGAAGCCAGCCTCCAGCTCCGACTGAAGCTTCACTTAATTTCCCCCCTTGCCTTGTTCTGTTTCCTCAATTCCTTTCTCCTGAGGTACCCCCTACCCCCAATAAAGTACTTGCACTGGAACCCCTACTCAGGTTCTGTTTATAGGGAAGAGAGATATAGAGGGGGATTTCCAAATCAAAGTACAGTATAGTAGACCCTTGAAGAGTCCAGGTTTGAGCTATGTGGGTCCACTTCTATGTGGACTTCTTTTTTTAATCTGTGGATTTGATAATCACAAATTCAACTAGCCGTGGATGCTGGTTGATTGTGTGAATGTATAACCCACTGATACTGAGGGCAGACTGTAAGTTATAGACAGATTTTCCAAGTGGGGGTTGTAGCATGTAACCCCTTGTGTTGTTCAAGGACCCAGTGTATTTTGAGTGAAACTAGTAGATATTTTGTGCATAAAAGTACTCTAGCCACCCCACTTCTGGGACCTTTACCAGATCTGCTCTCTCGCAGGGTGTCTCACTAGTCTCTCTTATTTATTCTCCCACTCCATCCTTTCCAGCTGCCAAAAGGAGCTCCAAAGGCTTCTTCCTATTTCAGGCGGCAATCTAGTGTTTCCCAGTTCCAGATGCAAACTCAGCTCCAAGTCCATTAGGCAAATCAAAGCCATTCAGCAACTCCGATGAAGGAAAGGGGCATCAAGCAAGGTTGCTATGGCTATGCGTAACAATCACATGCGTTTCTCCACACACATGGTATCCTGTGTAAGAAGCATCACAAGCACAATGCTTGGCACACTACCTGCCACACGTGGAACATATGCTCCCTTGGGAAATGAGTGGCTAATATGTTTATTTACTTGCTGGCTTGTTTTTCCATTTGTTTCCTTCACCAGAACTTCAGTACCAGTTTGTTGAATGAAAGAAGCGACAAACCATCGGGCACCTAAAGGCGAAGTTCACCTCCACGTGGTCAACTCTAGCTCCAAGGTGGTCTCGGGATCTCAGGACATCACCCTGGGCTGCTTCAAAGGTGATCTTTCCCAAGTGAGCACTGAGCATCTCTTCCCTGCCCCACTGCAGGCCTCCCCAGCTCTCACCGTCAGTTTCAGTCAGACGCACCTGACACCCTCCCGGCCAGGCACCACGCCTTCCCGCTCTCCGGTTACAGCACCGCCCCGCGTCCGCGAAACTACAACCCCCACAATGCCCCGCACTCCCACACGCCACATGATTGGCTGAGCCTGTGGCTTCGACCAATAGGATGTGGTTTTGTTGACCCGTGCGGCGGCAGCTCGAGTCCCGGGAAGGGCTGGGCGTCTGCCTGGTTGCTCTGGAGCCGGGTCGCGTGGCCGCCTGTCCGCCCGCCTCCTGCCATGGGGAGCAGCGAAAGCAGCGAGGGTCGCAGGGTGTCCTTCGGAATGGACGAGGAGGAGCGGGTCCGGGTGCTGCAGGGCATCCGGGTGAGCGGGCCGCCGGCGGGCGCGACCGATCGAGCACGGCCTGGGCCGGGGCGGGCGTGGAGGGCGCCCGAGGGCGCGGAGGCCGCGGGCCGGCCTGAGGGGAGGTTCGGGACCCGCTCTTCGAGCCCTCCTAACGCCCTCCTCGGTGTGAGACGGGGGCTGAGTCCCGGGAGATGCCCGGGGTCCCTTCACCACCTCCCTGACTTCAGGGGAGCAGTGGCGAACCGGACAGGAGGGGCGCCTCTTCCAACCCGGGTGGACTCAGTGGTCCCTGACCCGAGTTTGTCCCCGTCCCTCCAGCTGGGCTCATCGTGTTGTGTGGACAGGAGATGTTTCCTGTTCTGACAACCGCAACAGCCTCTTAACCCGTCCCCCCTTCCACTCTGTGACCCCTTCCCCGCAAGTCTCTTCACATCGCAGCCTAAGGGGAACTTCAAGAATTGTAAATCAGATCTTATACCTCCCCTGGCTTAAAACCCTTTCGGGGGACGCCTAGTGAGTTTAAGATGAAGAGGCGCCTCCTTACCTTGTTTTACAAAGCTGGACCGCCACATCTCAGGCCTGTTTCCTCACCCTCCCTGTCCATCTGTTCACTAGTTCAGCACCCCCCCAGTCCTGCAAGATGGCCACGTTGTCCAAGCACAGGATGGACTCCTGCATTTGCCATTTTATCTCCCCTGCTTCTATCTGTCTCTTTCTTCACATTTCTTGTTACATGGTGTGAACATCATCTGAGAAACCCTCCCTTACCACCGCTCACTCTAAAGTAGCTTCTCACCCCCAGCCACACAGTGTTTTTCATAGCACTCATCACAGTTTGAAAATATTGATATTTTACTTGTGGATTGTGTTTCCCACGAAGGCCTTTGTCTGGTTTGAGATTCTAGTCCCAGAATCAAAAAGAATATTACAAGTTGCTTGCACTTGAATGCTTAGTAGAGGCCATGCGTTGTGCTAAACCCTTTGTAGGTATCTTCTCATTTTCGACAGCCCTATGAGAGAGGGTTTATTAGCCCATTTTATACAGTAAGGACAACCGAGGCACTCAGTGATGAAGTCACTTAGCTAAGGTCATCTCGGTGACAGACAGGTGGGCAAGCTGGGATTGGCAGATTCTTTGGATGCCACACTTGCTTCTACACCTGTGCCTGGCAGAGAGTGGGTGCTTCCTAAATAATTGTTGAATGATTAAATGAACTTGGTGAAATAGGGATCAAGTTTGAATGGGCCCAAATTTACACAGCTGGGTGTAGGTGGATTGATTAGGGAGGTGGCTCGAAAAAGCACCTGTCGGGGTGAATACCTTATCTTTTGAGTAGCAGTCACCACATATTTTTTTTCAAAATGGGGAAAGGGTGTGGTAATCCATGGTGTTGTTTTAAGATGAGATGAAGATGTGTGTGGGAAGTGTTTAGAAAAACTAGTGTTTTGTGGGGGACTCTCTTCTTAGCCTATAGTACTGGTGCATTTGGTGCTTGCCAGCAGTTTATATAGTCTTGATCCGGCCTGTGGCAATGACCTAATGGGGGGAGAGAGCTTGTGTTGGAAGGTTGAGAGGCAGGAGCCTGAAAAGAGACTTAGAAAGCTCTCTTTGGCTCTGTTTGGGTGCTCTCCTTCTTGGTCTTCTGCTTTAGTGACTTCCCCAAAATTAAGAGAAGAATATCATTTTTTTTTTTTTTTTTGCTATTTTGTCAGATGGGTACATTTTACTTTATTGCATTTTACTCACTAAATAAAAATTCTCGTAAAGATGGAAAATCAGGCCTAGAAAGGTTAAAGTATTTTGTCCAAGCTGTTACCTGAATAACTTCTAAGACTGTAATCTAGATTTTTTGGGGTGCAAAAAACAGCCTTTTCTCACTACTCCCAGCTTCCTTCCTGCAAGTGATACCAAGGCAGCAGGGGAATTTGTGACAAAGCCTCTGCCTGTCCTCATGGTGCTGGTGCCGCGTCCCTTCCCTCCACCCCTCATCCACCAGAGGTTGTCAAAATTAGAGCGGGCCTTGGTGACTGATTGCTGGGCAGACTTACTAGAGCAAATTAGTGACTTGTCAGGAGGCACATAGTGAGGTGCATGGTCCCTGCTATGAAGACTTGCCTGTGCTTCCCTCCTCTCTCCCTCCCTCCCTCCATCTTTCCTTTCTGCTTGGTGCCTAGTGTGAAAGAGGGAGATCAGAGAAAGGCGGAGGGCAGGGAAGTGTTTTGTTGTAGGACTTTTTTTCTTGCTAGCAGTTTTTTAAAAACAGTGCCAAGGTGGGGGGGAGAGGTCACAACGAGTTCTCATCTGCGTGCTCAGGGTGCAGCAACAGGGTTTATTTACAAAGGGGTGACTGAGATAAGGGTTGCAAAGGCCATAAATTGCTGGCTGACCTACTCCAGATAGTAATGTCCGCAGTGTCCAGTAGTTTCCACACCAAAAGCTGCTCACTGAAAGCACACCAAAAGCAAAATACATTGTCTCTGATGAGAGCCTGGAACTGGCGGCACACTGGTGAGTGATGGACCAGGATCCAACTCTTCTGTGGCAGCTGGAGGTGGTCAAAGGTGGGGCTGCTGAGGCAGCACTGCAGGGTCATGGCGACAATCTGAAGCAGGGCTGGGCAGTGCCTGATGACAAACTGGACAGCTCTCAGGTGGCACCAGTGCTGCAGCTCTTTAGAGTGCTGGACAAGACCAGCTGCACTGCTGATGATTGAAGCTAGAGCGAAGATGTTCCCAGATGAGAGTCCAGGAGTCTCTCCCTGAAGCCTTCCCAAGTTGGCTGAAGCCTTTCAAACCTGATCAGTCCATTTTCCAAACTCTCTGTTTCTAAGACTTGATTGGTGCCTTTGGGAGCTCAAACCTAGTTTTTCAAAACCAGGTCAGGATTCAGAACCAAAATGCTGGTAGAGCATCCAAGCTGCTCTGCGCTATCTTACGCCAGGTATGTAGTGCTGGAGGCTTGGTGGAGTCAGATTTAAACCTGACCCACACATCTTCAAAACTGCCATGTTTTCTCTCTTTTTTCCTAAAACCCATCCCTGCTGTGTCAGGGTCAGCCATCAAACCTGGCTGTCGTGGTGTAACCCAGGCTGATGCCCCTCAGTTGGGGATCCCAACACCTTCAGCGAACCAGGCTACGCTTACAGTTTGAGGATTAAGAAGTCCACTTTATCTTTAGGCAGACAAATAAAAAATCAGTTGAAAAAGATCATTTGGGTAACCAAATGAGGAGGTAATTTAATAGAAGGTAGATGCCAAAAAAGAATATTTGCACCAGCTCCTTCAGAGAAAGTTAAATATTCTTAAAGACCTTTGCATTTAATCCCCTGGGCCTGGTCTTGGAAAGTCCTCCAGTTCCCTTAAAATTAAATGCCAGGGCCTTGCTAGTTTGCATTCTTATTTACATAAATTTACATATCAAGTTCAAGCCCTAATTCCATGGAAGGTAAGAGAAATTTAATTAATGCAAAATGTTGCAATTATATTCAGCACCAGTTTTCAGAGCAAGCATGTGTAAAATACATAAAGATTTCATTTCAACCAGTGTGTTAACCTCATCCTCAATAAGAGAAGGCAGTAATGTCCTATGTATGTCTGCTTTTCTCTGCTCTGCCCCATGTGAGCAGCCATCTTTGATAATACAGCTGAAGCTGCCTGTCAACATCCAGATTCCTCCCTGTTCCCAACCTTTCTCCTTCCAACTGCCAGGCCCCCCACTGTTCTTTCCTGAATCTGCTGCTTCAGCCAAGTCCCCAGGCTCATTATATCCTGTACCTCACCTTTACTGTCCGACAGCGCTCCTGTGATATGAGTTGGACTTCTGGCCTGAGAGGAAGACCAAGGAGCATGTAATAAGACACACAAGAAACAGTTCCCAAACAGGCCAGTGCCAGAGAAGCCCTGTGCCAAGCACTGCCCCAGAGCTACCATTTATCCGTCACCTCAGCAAATGCGTACTGTGCATGTGTTACCTGCCAGGCACCAGGCCTGGCCTTGCAGAGACAATCAGGGACAAAGCGCCAACTCCCTACCCCCTTGGAGACCAGCCCAGTAGGGGCAACAGACCAAAAGAAAGACAGAAAAGGGAGACAAAAGAACAAAGGAACTACAAGTGCTATGCAAAGAATAAAAAGCGTTGGAAGAGTAATCGGGTTGCCTGCTTGAGAAGGCACTGTCAGCTAATGCCCCTGAGAAGGTGACACTGATGATGTGCTGGAGCCAAGCTGGAGGGGATTGCACAGTTTTATTCTATGCTGAGTGTTTTGGGAGCTTTGTCTCAGATATTCCCTCTGCTAACTTTAAGAGATGTCATTGCCATCTCTGAGGTGAAGAAACAGGTTCAAGGTGAAGGAACCTGGGTAGATCTGCAAGCTCGGGTTGCTGACTATAGCCTAGGTGGTGAGGGGTGAGGATGTTGGAGAAGGCTGGCCAGGTGATGAGGCCAGACAGGTCATGGACCTTGAACTCCAGACAGGCCCCTTAACCGTCACTCGAGACATTGTAGTTCTCTCATCAGCTATGGAGTTTTGGAAAGATGTTGTTTGATGATCCTGAGTTTTCTCTTTTAAGAAGCAGGTTTATTGAGCTATATTTTCATATTGT